CCATTGATTCCTTTGACCTTGGTTATTACTATAATACTTAAGTTCAATATATAGTAGGTATATTGGCAATGGTCTTGTAATTAGTGGCCGTGAAACTTTTTATAAGAGATAAATTGATTATTTTTATATATTAAAAAATAAAAAGAAGAGATTTATAAGTGGTGGAGAACCTGGAATTACTTTGACAATTTGAGATTTACATTTTTAAGGGTCTTGTGACAGGTTTAAGGGTCCGTGATATAGTTTGATGAAGTCGTGAAACTTAAGCTATCTATTAAAAAAAGTGAGACATATTGGTGAAATTTTTTTACAAACATCTGGAGACTTGTAAACTAATTAAGACATATTTAGCGATTTACTTCATCCACCGATCTCATAGCAGGATAGCAGGACAAGTGAGCTCACTTATGGGGTTCAAACATATCATTAAATATTCAATACATTGGCTATGGAATTGATTCTGTCATCTCATTCCGTAGTGAAAATAAATTTTACTTAAAAATTAAATATTTTCAATGAGAAAAAATAAAATTCATTGTTTTCATTGTGACAATATTTAATTTTTTTAAGTAAAAAATTTATTTTCACTACAAAATGAGATGACATAATCAATTCCGTAGCCAATGTATTGACACATTTGTGATAGAAATGTGACACCTAACATGTCTGTTGCACTATGGCAATAGAATCAACAATAGAACTTAATTTTGTTGTGATGTTTGGCGCAAAGAGAGATTTGACATATGAGGTTGACGATGGAACTTGCGACGTTTGTTTTTCAGTCACGAAAATATTTAATTTTTAAGTAAAATTTTATTTGCGTTACAGAATGGGACAATGGAATCAATGTTGTGGTCATCAATATGTTGACAAATTGGTAACAAAAAATGTGACTCCCCACAGGTCTATCGCGCTATAGCGATGAACCACATTTGATAACGTTTAAAACTTTGCCACTTACAATCTTTTAATGGTCAAATTTTGCACCATGTTTGATATTAAAAGTGAGAAATTTTCAAAATTAGATGTAAATTTTTTTATTGCATAAATTCATATATGTACGTACATACATATCGAGATGGAAATAGGTCAGACCCCTTCGTAGGAGCCCCCCCTCTCTCTCTCTCTCTCTCTCTCTCTCTATATATATATATATATATATATATATATATATATATATATATATATATATATATATATATATATATATATATATATATATATATATATATATATCAGGGTTGCAAAAATTCCGCCTAGGCACCGAGTAATCGGCGCCTAGGTGCTAGGCGCCCCTACGCCGTAGCGATTTCCCCTCTAGGCTCCAGCCTAGCGCCTAATTCAGCCGCCTAGCGCCTAACTCGGCCGTTTACGCCGAGTTAACTCGTCAATTTCTGTCGAGTTAGTCGAGTTAACCCGCCCGACTCGACCTTGCTAATTTTTTTCATTTATATGACATGTATATATATATATATATATATATATATATATATGTATGTATGTATGTATAATATGACATATATGCACTCGTGCAGTGTTTTCCATTTTTTCAGTTAGCCGCCTAGGCGGCCGCTTAGGCCCGCCTAGGCCATCTAGGCGCTAGGCGCTACTCTACCGCCCGACTAGCGCCTAGCGCCTATTGCAACCATGATATATATATATATATATATATATATATATATATATATATATATATATATATATATATATAAACTAATATATTTTTATATTTTCAATATAACCCTTAAGTATGTATGTGAATTATCATGTTAGTTATGTATTATTGTATATTTACATTATGTATATTTAAAAATTTCTCATATGTAGGCCTTTTTTTTTTTTTGAAATGCTATTGACTCTGTTACATTATACCTCTACTGAAGTTCGATCTCATGACCTCCCACATAGGAGAGGTCACTACATACCATATGAGCACAATGTGCTTAAATTGGCCACATATGTAAGCCTTAAAATGACTAATATGTAGGTTTTAAATAAGTTCAAAACCCATTTAGGACTTACTTTGAAAGTTTTTAATAGCCTACATATTAAATAGACTTTTAAAAAGTTTTCATGTCAGGTTATGCTAATTGTAGGCTCAGGCTTGAGCCTAATAGAAAGCCTATATAGGCCCAAACCCAGACTTTAGATTTCAATAGTAGGCCGAGACCTAACTATCTAAAGCTCAGTTCGGACTAGCCTATTTCCATTGATCCACACACACATATATATACACATACATACATACATGTTCAGGTGAGAACACACCCGTTGTAAAAAGTGTAGACACATCTACATCTTCTATAGTGAGAAAACAAAGGCTAGGATCTTAGCATTACTAAACTTTTAGGTTTGCAATGATTATAAAATTGACTCTGTCTTTTTTTTTTTTTTTACTAAAACCTTTAACTATTAATGAACCTGAGAGAACGATTTTGGTCCGTCCTCACTTTTTACAGGAGAAACATGTTCTCATTTGATCATGCATGCCTATATATATGTGTGTTTTCTACTTTTCCCTCACGTTTCGTTTCCTATCATGCTTTAAAAATTAAAATGGCATTTACATTTCCTGTTTCTCTTTTTTCGTTTATGTGCTACATAACTATCAGCATTTGTCATTATAATACTTGAATTGATACAATGAAATACATCATGCATACGATATGTGATTATATATGATATAGAGACACTTATGTTAATTGACACTTTAGGAAAATGTATAAAGGAATAGAGACAAAAATGATTACAAGGTGGGAAATGGGGGGTTGAAGTAAAATAGCTTTCAAACAGTAAGAACAATAATTAAAAAGGGCAATGGGCTTGAGTGCTTAACAAAAAAGAAATGAGAAATGGAGAATAGTAAGACAAGTGTGATAGTCTCACGTGGGTTATGCATCTTTGCTTCATGCATCCCACCCACCCCTCCATTTAGATCAACTGCCTAATCATTCCTAATCGCGGTTTTTACAAGTCACTACTCCCCCACCCCCACACACCACACACCACCTCACTTCATTAAACTTTTTCGATCGAACTCATCATACTGAATCGTCTAAGTACAATTCACATCTCATGTGTAATTTCTGGGTTATTACAGATGAGCGTAGTTTGTCTAATTCACACCTTCAAGTAGCGATTTCAGTTTTTTCGTCAGTCAGAAAAAAGTTAGAATAATTTTGTTTTGCTTGGTATATTAAATGATTTTTTTATGTGTGAATTGGTACTCGTATCAAGTTATATTTGATACAATTATGTAAATATTTTTTGTTGTATCAGGTACTATAAGTTGTACAAGTGTTAGCAATTGTAGTGCCTATAATACATATCTTTTATGATTGTCTTAAGTACAATTTGATATTAGAGAAAATATCATATAAAATCTCTTATAAATGTAATTATATCATGTTGTACAATAATGTATGTTTTGCCAAATGTATACAAGGAGAAATTATAATTTTTTAAAACATATAGTACATATAAAATAAAAACATAGAGTACACTTACTACATCATAACATTTCAATAAATATGTGAATAATGATTAGATAATTTTGGAACTATTTAAATAATCTAATTAAGATTTTTAAATTGAAGTTAAAAAAAAAAATACTTGAACTAGAAAAAATATATATATATATATATATATATATATATATATATATATATATAATTGACTTTTTTTGCTTGTAAAGTGGCATAATTTGTATTTTTTTTTCTTTTAAAAAAATCAAAACACATAATTTTTTTTAATCATCTAAAATTACAATTATCAGTTTGGGCATACAAAAGATGTATGCATATAGCCAGAAATGGTAAAAACATGGCTTTTATGTGTTCTTCACTTATACCTTGCTTATGAAATCAACTTATGTCTCTTTTTGGATGTTCATACATGCCAAACTTCAACTAAAAAGCAATATATAGTAACAACCAATACAAAACATCTCCATTTGGAAGATATTTCTATTTTTTTTAATAGGATGGGTAGGAGTAAATCAATAATTCGTTACCCAATTAATTAATAAGTGTTGGGAAGTTTTATACGAAGAAAATATAAAATATACCAGCAAGAAAATTGTAAGAACATATTATAAAAATTACTCCGTAAAATTTAGAGTCTCGTGACACCTACAAAAGTTGTAGTCAACAAGGAATGAATCTTTTTCGAGAATCCGATCCTCTGTAGCAGTCAACAACGAATGAAACTTTTCCAAGAATCCTCTAAAAGTTTGAGTTTTATAAGGTGGAACCGTTATAACCTTGTCTACAAAAGGTGAAATTTCATCACCCTCACACCCGATTCTACATGATAGTGAAAATGTAAATCACGGTGACTCAACAGCCCATTAAGAGTAATATTATAGTGAATTTTTTTGGGGAGAATAGTACAATTTGTGATGAGTTGGAGGGAAGAGAAATGGAGAGAAAGAAATTTGAGGCTCTTCTGCAAAGACCCCGCACCATTGAACAGTGCTGGTCAGAGAAAGCTTGAAAAGTTGTGCGCGTTTCGCGCACAGCTGATGCACGCGCCTGACTGTTATTTTTTTATTTTAAAATAAGTTTTGTTTTATTTATTTTTTCTTTTCTCTCTCTCCTCATTTATTCTTTTTTTCTAATCACACTTACAATAACTCATCAAAAACCACAAAAATCCCCTACTAGTGTGGATGCTCTAAGTATCTCTATATAACTCAATACACGTTAATTCACACAACAATTTGCCTCTTGGTGGACATGATAAATAGAGAGGAAATTTAATATGAGTAGACCTGATGATGTGAGTTACTGGTACTCCTTATAAAAGTATAAAACTCAACACTGATAATCCATTTTGCATGAAGTGATATTTATATAGTTAAAAGAAGAGGTAAATAATGAGTGAAAATTTTCACCTTGCTCTATAATTTTCTGATTTCTCTCTCCATATATATAAACATAATTAAAGATTTTGTTTTTGCTGGGATAGTCTTTGTTTCCACATTTGAACAGGTTAGCATCTAAACACACTTACACACACACACACAGTGTTACATATACCCCCCTCCCTGCCCCAACCTTATAAGATGGTCCTTTCTCCAACAAATCAAGCTTTATCTGTCTGTTTGTTTTTATGTAGCTATCCTCCAATGCTTCTCCATTATAGCTACTGTTTCTTGGCCTTGTAGGTCTGGGCTGCTCTTTCTTTTTTTCTTTTTTTTTTTTTGGATGGATTTTGGGGGTGTTTTGGATAGTGGAGTGGTGGTGGCCTGTTCAGACACTAAAACTGCAACTACTGCTACTAGTAATGCCCTGTTTACTGCAGCTTCTGAGGCTGTTTCAGATGCTGAGACCAAGCAAAAATGGTATGGATCTGTTGGGTTTCTCAAGCAGGAGAGGACTTCTGGGGCTAATCATGCTGTTGAAGATGACATGAGAGGCTCCAAAATGGCTAAAATCACTGCTGCAACTCTGCCCAGAAGTCCTTTTGTGGGATCTGAACCCCACCAAATGCTCAGCTTCTCTTCTTCTTCTTCTTCTCCCTACTATCCCCATGCTTCTTTTGGGGGAAACCCAGGTAACTATACACATCAAAGCTCCCAACTTTATCCTCACCCATGGTGCATATTGGGTAATGGTGGAAGGAAAAATGGGTTTCTTGAAACTTTTTGGGTTCTTCCATCATCAAAGCTTGAGTTGATATTTGTCTTTGAGTTTGGGAGTTACTTTATTTATTTTTTGTTTTTTATTGCACGGGTTCAGATTTGATTCCCTTAATTTTTTAAATGGGTTTGGGTTTCTTTTTGAGGGGGGAGGTGGGGAGGGTCTTTTCATGTGCTTGACCTGCTGGTTTTGTTTTCATGTCTTATCACTATCTTCAATAAATTAAAAAAATAGAGGAAAATAGAATGTCTCTTTTGTTCCATGTTTTTCTATCTTCCTGTTTTGGGAAATGGGTTGCTCCTTTATTCAAAATAGCTTGAAAAAAAAATGGTTTCTTCTGTAATTTCTTGGTCTTTCAAACACCAGATATTCATACTGTAGCAGAATTGCAGCCCCCATAAATGTAGAAGACAGTTCTTTAACTTTGGGCACTGTTTTAATTCCTTTTACTGTTGCAGATAGTAATTTTTTATTATTTTTTTACCATCATGAAAATTATTGTTTGCAGGATATGGAGTTTGATCTGGTTTATTTACTTTTTCAGGCTATGGAATTGATGGAAACATGCATGGGGTGATGATGAGTGGAGTTAAAGGTCCTTTCACTCCATCTCAATGGATGGAACTGGAACACCAGGCCTTGATCTACAAGTACATTACAGCTAATGTCCCCATCCCTCCTTATCTTCTCAACCCCATCAAGAAAGCCATTGAATCTGCTGCATTATCAACCTTTGGCCTCAGAGTCAATTCTTGTAAGTTCTCATCTTTTCCCCTTTTATCATGGTGGTAACACTCTTTCAATGCACCTTTTAGTACATCATAACTCATAAGTGTTAGGATCAAGCACTTATAGCTAGTAGCAAACGACCTTATTTCCTTATACTTGCATAGCAACCATTGCCACATTTCGAATCGAAAGGGAGAGTGCTGGACTTGACCTTTCACCTGGTGCTGGATTTGGCCCTTTAGGCCTCTGCCCGACAATCCCCTAGCCACCTGGTGCTGGACTTGCCCTTCAGGCGTCTGCCCGACAATCCCCTAGCCACCTGGTGCTGGACTTGCCCCTTTAGGCGTCTGCCCGACAATCCCCTAGCCACCTGGTGCTGGATTTGGCTCTTTAGGCCTCTGCCCGACAATCCCCTAGCCACCTGGTGCTGGATTTGGCTCTTTAGGCCTCTGCCCGACAATCCCCTAGCCACCTGGTGCTGGATTTGGCTCTTTAGGCCTCTGCCCGACAATCCCCTAGCCACCTGGTGCTGGATTTGGCTCTTTAGGCCTCTGCCCGACAATCCCTTAGCCACCTGGCACTAGACTTCCCTTTAGGCGTCGGGCCAACAATAAGTATATATTGTTGTCCAGTTTTTGGCTTTTTGCATTCTATCATACCTGAGATTTTTGTTGATTAGCAATGTAATGTGGTTGTGATGGCAGTGGGGTGGGGTGGAGCGGGCGGTTTCCATCTCGGGTTCTCCAGCAACACCGATCCGGAGCCAGGCAGGTGTAGGAGAACGGATGGGAAGAAATGGCGGTGCTCGAGAGATGCAGTTGCAGACCAGAAGTACTGCGAGCGCCATATGAACAGAGGCCGCCATCGTTCAAGAAAGCCTGTGGAAAGTCCATCTGGCCATCCCGCCTCTGGAGCCACTACCACCACTGCAGCCAAGCTGATGCCAGGCGCATCTTCCACTTCATCATCATCATCATCAGCAGCTGCAGCAGCAGTGTCGGGAGGCGGTGCATCCAACAGCCTTGCCTTCTCGCATCACAATCAGCTCAGCAATTTGCACCTCCCCGCTGCAACTAATCATCTTGACAGGTAGATCATAAGCTCCTGAGAACCTAGTACAAGAAATCAAGAATGGTTTTCTAATTGATAACAAAGTTTGTGCCTTTGTATTTTTCCAGCAGGAGCTTTTTGGATAAGGAATATGCGGGCGAGAGGTATCAAGATCCAACAGGTCTCTCCATTACATCTCCAATCCTAAAAGACAGACAGTATTCTAGTATTCCCAAAGACCAGAACCCTTACGAGGAATCTTCTACGTTGAAATTTGGATTAGTCTGCTCTGACTCACTGCTAAATCCTCTGAGCAGAAACTATGGTGCTTCTAAGGTCGTCAGTGACCGCGAAAACAAATCTCAGCATCCAATTCGACAGTTCATGGACAACTGGCCTAAAAACCCGTCTGATCGATCCATGGTCTCGTGGCCAGAAATTGATAACACTCAGCTCTCCATATCTATCCCCATGGCAACCTCAGACTCACGGGAAATTGAAGCAACCCAAATGAGATTAGGAGTTGGTGGTGTCATTAACGAGCAAAACCAGAGGCAAGGAAACTGGATACCTATACCATGGGAGTCCTCCATGGGCGGCCCTCTCGGGGAGGTTTTGCACGGGACTAATAGCATGACAAGCGAGTGCAAGAATCCTTCGGCTCTCAACCTTATGACCGAGGGATGGAATGGCAGCCCCAAGCCCGCCTCATCCCCAACCGGTGTCCTACAAAAGGCGGTTTTCTACTCTATCTCCAACAGCAGTGCAGGGAGCAGTCCAAGAGGCAAGAGCAACAAGAACACCAACGGGGCCAGTCCTTGTAACGAGATTCTTGGAGCAACTCTCATGAACCCCTCCCTGCCCGCTCTGTAACCGCCCCACCTCAATCCAAGATACTAGGTAATGCAAGGAGTTCTTGGACTAATCTAGTTTTCATTTTCATCAACTTAAAAGATTTGTTTTTTTTTTTTTCTTTTCATATGTAATATCTTCAACAGTTTGAGCCCAGCTTGGGATTGTAGTGGCTTAACCTGGGCAATGGTTTTTAAGATTTTTATTCTTTGAACATGTGATTTTGTTTGGTTTTTGGTAAAGGGTTTCAATCAGATATTTTCTTCCTGGTTGGTAGGAGGCATGTTGGTGGGTGGGCTGCTGTAATTGATAAATGATGAGGTACAGCTTCATGGAATGTGGTTTTCATTTCCTCCTTTCTTATTGTGGTAAATATATAAATATATTATATACAAACATATATATATGTTGGTCAACTAATATAGAACTTAGACATGATATTTAACACCATGTCTGTACATTCTGGGTGGGAAGATATATATTTTGCAATGAATCCATGGTGGCCCATGAAGTTGTATTCCAGCCTGTTTACATCATTTTCCCTTTATTATTTCAGTGCCTTTCCTTGTAATTTTGGTCCATCTAGCCTTCTCTGTGGTCCTAGACATTGTACAAAGAATTTTGGTAGGGTCCAATGTGGATCTTGCCTGACAGATCTTATGGTCATGAGTTGGTATCCATTTTGAATCTCTTCCCTTTTTGGATGTATTATTTGCATAATTGCATGCCACTGCCATTTTGCTAAGCTTCAAAAGTCAAGAGAAAAGAAATGATTGCCCCCCAATTTCAAACCTTGTGCCTTTCATCTATTGGAGACACAAAAATTAGCCAGTTGAGTTGTGTCCCAAGAGCAAGGTTCAACAATCAGAAATGTATCAGAACCCTAATTTCAGAATCTACGAGAAACCTAATGTAGCAAAAGCAGAATCAGTGTTAATCACCAACCATAATTGATACCTTATTGTGTTGTCTCTTGAACACTAGACCACATAGCATATTAGTGTCTATTAAGAAGTACCGTAAACTAAATTTGTTATATAATGTATATCCTATACCCCATTAATTCAAGTGCATGCCTTAATGAAACAAATTTATTGAGACGGAACTCTCGATAACAACCAGGGTACCTGCTATTCCATTTGTCTCATTTTATCTGCCTTACTATTCATTCATTGAACAAACCAATTCATTGAACAAACCAACTCTTTCTTCTTCGCTTATTTCCATTAGCATTTTCTTATAATTTTTAAATTTGACTTTTTATGTCTAATAATTCTCCATTCTTGAAGTTGTGAATCACTTTTAAGTAATCTCAAATGAAAATCTATAGAACATGAAGCCTCTTAAATATAGTCCATATAAAATATGACTCCTAGAGTCCTAGGCCCTAGTCATCAACACTATAAACCATAGTATTGTACCCCAAGCAATGATTCAAGCCCAATTGAAATTGGAGCTCCAACTGCTATACAAACAGGCTTAGTATGAAAGGGAATACAAATATTCCCCATACAAGAAGTAAATTGCCTGCAATTTCAAGAATGGATTTGGGCTGCAAAACACCACCAAACAAGATATTTAGTGAAGCCAAGCACAGGGCAAACTGGTGTTCCATCCAAAATGAAAGACCTAAACATTTCAAACTCAACCATGGTAGACAAGTAGCATATGATCAAAATCAATACCACATTTAGTCATAATGCCATGATGATTGAATAAAAACAATGACTTTCATTAGGGCAGATGGCCTAGTTAACCTTTACACAATTCAATTGAGAACATTTAAGCTCAAGATAATACTAGAGTTTGAAATTGATCAAACAAGAATTCCAGCATTTTAACAGTTAACACTTCACATTAAGCTGCAAAGCTAAAAATCCCAATAAAATAACCAAAAAGCACAAATTTTTTTGACTTTGGCATTACCAAAGTCAAAAAACCAAGGAAACAAAAAAAAAAAAAAAAAAAAAAAAATTATATAGATGATAGGGTGCTCATATTCTATGGGTGTATATGGTCTGTCATGCCGTGGCTACAGCATTCAGAACGAGGAATTGATTTATAATCATCGCACCACAACCCATTTTCGAAACAGATTCAATCAATTATCAAAAAGAAAAAATGCATAAAATCACCAGCTACGAATTACAACCTAAAACAGAGCAATCAACACAAACAACTATGAATTGACATCAGATTGCAGTAAGCGAAGTAGAAAGGAGCGATTTTTACGAGAGTAAACGACGCTTACACTGAAGGTGAAGAGATACAGAATGATTTATAGAAAAGGGAGGACCTTTTCAAAACCCTAATCTTGAGCGGCGGTAAAAGACCATATTAAAAACATTTCACATGAATCCTCTGTAATTTTAATATTCTCACTTTAACCCCTTCAATTTTCGATATCACACGAGTTCATTTTATTAGAGTTGTTTTTTTGTTTTTATTAAATTATTGTTCCAAAAAAAAAAAAATTTTATGAAACAAAACAAATTGATGTGGATGTCCAGTTGAGATTCAAACTCACAACCTTTTACATAAGAGATAAGGTTCCCTGTGACTAAGTTACTAGTTCATCAATATCAGAAGAGATAATATTTTATATGTATGCAGTAAATGTTGACTGAAACCTCTAGGAACGGCTAAACTATAAAGACATTTGATCAACCAGCTAGCTGCAACTATTATTTATCTTTTGTATAAATAATATTTGTTTATTATCATCCTAATACTATAAATATCATCCATCCCCTTTGTACAATGCATCGGAATCAATACTAAAAAATAAAAATAAAAATAAAAATTCTGCCATCTTTTTCCCGGCTCTATTCTACTGTTGTTCTAATACCATCATCATCATTATTATTATTATTATTATTATTATTATTATTATTATTGTTGTTGTTGTTGTTGTTGTTGTTGTTGTTGTTGCTGTTCACACCAAAACCCAATTTTATGCCCATTTATTGGATATTTTAAATGTCCAAATTGTTTGTGTTGGTTTTAACTTTTAAGGGGAAAAAAAATTTTGATAACAAAAATGTTCTTTTTTTTTGAATGTTACTGGCCATATTACATTGTAGTATATGTTCATATACTTTCTCAATCGACTGAAACACAAAGTACCAATAACACATCCACTGAGGCTCAAACTCATAACCTTTCAAATGAAAATCTAACCTAGATACCATTAGACCACATAGTCTTGGTGATAACAAAAATGTTCTAAATATTTATAGTTCTTAAACATTTCGCCAAACTTCACCATTGAACCATAATGTCAATAAATAATCTAAAACACATATAATTCAACTTTTTTTCAATTTTGTTTTCTCAAAATTTTGTACTATATATTTATATTCCATCCCAAATAATGTGACTTCAAATAAAATTGCGAGGTGGGTGTGACAATTTATAACTAATTAATAAATATGAATTATGAAGAGTTCTGATATTATTTATCACATGATTTGGCATTTTTGGCCCAATATAATATTTTTAAAATTAACTAGTATTTTCACCCGTCCGTTGCACAGAATGAATTTGTTATAAAATTTTAAAAATATTTGAAACAATATCTATAATATAATATAATATAATATAATATAATATATATAATAACTTTAATAAGAGCCAATATTGTTTGGCCTTTAACGGGAACTAAAAAAAATGTCATCAATATGCTCTAAAAGATTGTACTTTGTGCCCTTCTAATTGTACAATGTCAAATTAAAATCCTAATATAACCTCTTCTTAGTTTTAGCAAACTTATAATGTTAAACTTAATACATTCTGTCAGATTGAAGTCACGGTGGCAAATTTGTAGTTTAAGTGAAATTGAATGGCAGTTAGGAGAAGCACAGTCGTCCGCTTGTCGTAAGGAGAATCACAGCAAACAAATTAGGGCAGCAACACAAGCCGGAAGAAGCACAACAAAAGCGTCGTAAGGAGAATCACAGCTAAAGCGAAATTGGGAAATTCGAAAGGAGTGGATTACCGAAAGGAAAGCCGATTTGGTCTCTTTGTGTAAAGTATGCAATTATGTACAATTATGCTGTTTATTGTAAATTTTAACATTTGAATGCAGTTTTCTGGGGGTTTTTAGTATTAGTAAATTGTGTTCTACCATCGCGGGCACTCCTATCATGGTGTTTTTTGATTGGCATCATCATTGGTATGGATTCAGATTATGTAATTACATGCACACACAATGTAAAGGTGTGAAGAAGAGGTCACATGTAATCTACAGAGATTGAATTACATCTATTTGAGAATTTTTCCTTTTTCTGATGGGATGAGGGGGGTGTGAGTTACACAATTGAATTGAATTTTTAAAGAGTATCATACTGTATTATTCAGTTTGTGGAGAAGGATTACAAGTTGGCTGATGTAGTTATAAGAGGTCTGCTGAAATATTGGCCTATTACTAATTGCCAAAAAGAGGTTCTCTTCCTTGGAGAACTTGAAGAAGTTTTGGAAGCCACATAGGCAGCAGAATTTCAGCGTTGCATGGTTCATCTTTTTAGATAAGTAACCTATCAATATATTGAAGAAACATGAGCTAAACTTTTGTTTCTTCACTTTGTACTGCATACCTTTTGTCAGAAAAAATTTGCTAATTGATGTCCTGTAGGAACATATGAGCACAAATGAACCATCAAACTTTTATTAATGATTTGCACACAATTAGCAAATTTGCAATGAAATAAGTATTCTTGATCTTTTGTGGAATCAGCTGTGTAGTACTTGTGTTTCCCTGAAACTGAAGGACTAGACCTCCACCTAGGGAGACATTTATTTTCTTCTGTATGATTATTAGTCAATTGTACTAATATTGTGAAATTAATTTCTTAATTACCATAATAATTATTAGATAAGATATTAATATTTTACAATTATACTATTATAACTTAAGTATAAAAATATATATATAAAAGTTGTCACGTTTATTGAGCTATTATTTACCATAATAATTATTAAATTTTATATAGTAATAGCTTGGGAGGTACTTTGGGCAGAAAGTTGTAAAAATAGGATTTTGTTTCTATTAGTAGTATAGATTATACACACAAATTTGTTGTGAGATGGTTTCATGTGCAACATATCTTAAATATGTATAGAGGAATATTTTAGCGAACGAAATTGTAATATTTTTTTATGGATCAACATTCAACAAGTATTATATGTTCATTAAAAATATTACTTATTCATGAAAATATAATATATTTACATATCAATAAAAAAATATTACATTTTTACTAAATAGTTATCCATCTCATGTGAAACAATATAATACAAGACTAATCGCTAGTTATATTATGCACTTTACAACCAATCATTATATTGTGGAACATGGTTTACCATCTTCATTGTAGACTTTGATCTAAATTATGTATTTCGAGTTAACATATTATTTACATTCGTTTTTTTTTTTTTTTTTGAAAGGATGTGCATTCGTTTTATTTACCTACAATTAACATATTATGTACATTCTACCTAAATAATATGTTAACTTAATGTATATAATATAATATGCTAACTTTGATTTACGGAAAACCGACAATTACTATCTAAAGATGCGCTATAGGTGAAATCCGTCTTAATTATCACCATAGTCAGCAAACGATCACAATGAAGTAATCCAACTTAATTGTTCTTATACCTGACCGACTCAAAATAAGAAATTTAATAAACCCATGTAGATCCTGATATATGATATAAAATGTTAACTTTATATACATAATCTAAAATATAATTTACAATGTACATAATGGACTCGTACACGACGTAATTTGCACCTTACAACAATCCTCAATTGGGGTAGGTGTCGCTGGCCGAGACAAAGTTTTGAATATTTTTTAGGCTATCTAGTGACCAAACTCATAA